AGAGTTTACAAATCTTATATTATAAAAGTGTTTGACAAATACATATTTCACCTCGATTTTATACGCATATCGGCCCCTGACTTTGCCAATCGAGAATTAGTCGAGTAAAAGGTAAAAACTTAAAATTTTCACAAATCTTACCTTTCAGAAGAAATATTCTTCCTTTTAAAGTCTTTACAGCGAATTTTTGCATCCATAAGTGGAGAAAAACGGCATGATTTTGTCTTGAAAACGTAAAATATTTGTGCAAAAACAGGGGGGCGAAGGTCTTTGTCGCATGCTTAGGATCGCGGTTGGTCAGTGGTAATTGCCATGAGCCGGAGGAACCATATGGCGTCAGCAAACGTGAAAATCCGCCATGTTTTTGCGGACACTTTTTTGACTGACGAGATATAGGAGCAAATCCTCCAGTAATATTATAGCTCAGTGTTTTGCACGTTTCAGCCCGAGGTTCATACGACCACTTCCGAATTGCTACTTCCGAGTTCCGAAATCAGGAAGCTTTTTAAAAATTGAAGTAAGCGGAGGTGGGTTTTCTAAATTAATAACTTTTTTTGAAATCAGTCTTTGAGCAGTTCAATTCAGTTGCTTCTCTGTACAAAAGACTTTCATCGATCAGGTAGAGGTTTGGTAGCATCACGTTTAATATCAAGATCAGTATGGAAGGCAAAAGTAATGCTATGTACGATCAAATGAACACTGCAGCGACTGCGCCGCCGTATCCAACATATGGCACAGACACGAACAGCGCTTATCCACCAGTTTCAACGGGCTATCCTCCTGTTGCGAGTGCTTACCCTCCGCTAGAAAGTGCTTATCCACCTACAACAAATGCCTATCCCCCTCCAATGAACGCTTATCCACCGCCAATGGCAGCCCCTCCGCCGTATTCAGCCAGTGTTCCATACGAAACACAAACTACAAATACGACTATTGTTGCAATTACAACGGACTCGTATCAACCTTATACACCCGAAGTTGGCTTTGACAGCAAAACCGTTCGTTTGGGTAAGTTTGACAAGTAATCCTAAGTTTATTTCACAAAATTTCACAGTGAAACCCTAAGATAATTTAAAAGACACAAATTGAAATATCGAAACGTCAAATGTGAAATATGAAATTATTATGCAAGATCGTTCGACCGAATGATCAAGCTGCTTTGTTTACATTTAATAATAGATCACGGTTTTATATTTTATATTAAAGCTTAAGAGAATGTTGGCACTGGTATTTTCAAAAATTTTAAATTGCTGACAAGTTCATGTTAAATTTCATGTTTATGGAAGGCGGAATTAATTTGCAACCATTACGTCATATTAAATCCAGCATTTTATAATACGCAATGCCATGGTTATGTTTACAGTGTTTGGCTGGGATCGGTTCTACCCAACTGAAAATGGAATGAGTGAAGGATGTTGTATGTACGCCATGCTTAATGATACAAATTACAGCCGTACCATACAGGTAGTCTGCCTAGCCTGTGTCGCAGGGTCAGCACTTGTTTCCATCTACCAAACTGACGTAATATCATTTTTGAAAGGTGAAAGAGGTGTTAAATGGCTATGTAACTAACCCAAACCCTACCCCTACTCTAATTCTAACTGCAACTCTAACCCTAATCAAAATCGATGCATGTTGCATGTACAAATGGTCAACCTGAATCTGCTCTTAAAATATGAAAAAATTGAAAACCAAATCTTTAAACTTAGACAACCAGGGGTGTTTCCAGGGCACTTTTGGATATTGAAAAGGGTATGTAAAAAAAAATTCCCTGAAATGTTATTGTTCCCTGAAATGTTGTAAAAATTTGGGGGAGCATGTGCCCCCTTTTCTCCCCCCCCCCCCCC